GTCTGTTCAGGCTATACAGGGGATCTTTGTCTTTGTGTGCGCTACTAGGCAAAGGGAGCTGTCTCCTCGTGTGGTTTTGCTTTGTTGCGCCCTTTTCTTGGAATGCATCTCCAAGCGCATTAAGCGAGGGAAACCTGTATTTAATTTATTTGCCAAAAATTCCAGCTCCTCTAAGGATAAAAAAAGATATCGGTTTGACTGTCGTGCGACGAACATTGCTCTCCGTGGCAGGCAGGCCGGCTGTGAAAGTTCCGTCCCCTGCTTTGCGACACCAGAGGTCACTTCGATGGCACCTCAGAGGTAGCTCTCCGAGATCCGCTTCAGCGGGGCCGTTCTCGACGCACGCGCCCTGCGAGATTCCCGAACGGGCTCGTCGACTCGCACAGAAGGAGAAGAATAATAAACACCGCACTCCACACTTCGATAAGTTTCCACATCATGAACTTTAATTTAAAACAATAAAATCCAACTGCTATGCAGTTTGCTGCTTCACCCCAAGTCGCTGTCACACAGTACCACAACTAAGTCACCCTACATCTGTACAAGACAAAAGCACGTAATCTTACAGCCGACGACTCCGCTATAGTCTTAAGAAAAAAAAAAGAGTAATTGCAAGCAACAGCTATCAGTATTGATTCAAACGCCTTAGTGTTATGAGAATCCTTCCCTCCCGGTGGAAGTTGCGCGGATCGCCTATCACCGAACATTACCCAGAATTCACCCTACCGACCTCGTCAGCATCTCGCACACCAAGCATGGCTGAGCCTGGGTAGTGGACTGGATGAAGCGACCATCACTGCATAACAGGTGTTATAGGCTTGATGGAAACGAGAAGTTTTTATTTACCCTTCTTGGCAATGAAACGGGCTTTTTAAATGTCCATGCACCATTTATATACCCATTGGAAGGCACCAAGTCTGCATGAACCACACACACTTGTGGCAAAACATGCAAACAAAATAAATCTGTGATAATGTATGCATTGTCTTTGAAACTGATTGGCTTACCCCAGAGACAGCCTTCTTCAACGGCCTTGTCTCACTAGCAGCGTTAGATCAGAGAACGCCAAAAGGCGAACGGTGCAAAGTCAATGAAAGTTATCAAAGTTTCCAATCGTTCGGGTTGAGCGATTACATCTGTGCAGACTCCGATGCCTTGCAATGGATATCTCGGCAGGGCTGGATTATTGTTCTTGTAGGCCCTGGGCACTTCTGTTTCGTAGGCCTTCGGTGATCACGTTTTACAGCTACTACTGCTGCCCCGTATTACTACTACCGCCGCTGTGACTACTCCGCTTGATTGTGCGAAAAACACAATTTTAAGGTGTTATTGAAAATTTTTCAATGAACAAAACTCTTGAAAAGTTCATCTCCGGGGTTAATTTCCTCTCACCTTATGAGAAACAAAAAGATTGACGTGATTCTGCCTCTTAGGAATATACACTTGCTATATAAATATATTTATTCAAGAAGATATCTCGGTTACATTTTTGTTTATCATACAAACCAAAAAAAAACCATGGGCAACTTTTTTCGTAAGCCCTTTAGTTTTCGTACGCCCTAGGCACAGTACCTACAGGTCCTGATGTGCCTCTTGGATACTACGGCCTGGTATCTTAAGCGGTGCTTGAACATCTTAACACCTCCGGTTTAATTGCCAGAAAGGGTAAAGCCTTTTTGTTATATATTTTTTTCCACCATTTTGATACTGCCAAAAAAGGACGCATAGATACGTTCTCGGCATCTGCGGAGATAACCACGAGCCCCTGGCGTCACGTTCCAATGCCTGTCTCTGTAACTTGCTCTGTCCCACCACGCACGTGTCCCACCCATCACAACCTCCTCCTCCTCCCCTTCCTCCCCCTGCTGATCGCTATCAACAATACGTTATGTGCTATCGACGCGTCGATTTTCCTCAACGTCCACGCTGCCGACCCTATTACTCCTTGATAATGAAACTCATTCGTTCGGTGATTCCGCGTTGGCCAATATAAACGATGTCTTCGAATAATGCATATATTAAAGGCGACATTTTTGGGCAATGATCCGTCCACTTATGTGTACTGAAGCAGGGGCCATCGCCCGAAACGTCACCTGTTGTATTGTGTTTCTTTTAAGGTCACAGTGTGATTGACAAATATTAATTTATTTTCTGATTATTATTCATAATGTCTGATAATCCTCTCCAGGTGGCTGTATTCAACGGCTGGTAGCTACGTTTTCTGGGTTCAGTTTCTTCTATTGGGTTTGATATACCTTTATTAATATTAATATATTCATCCGAAATCCAAATTATATTGTGTTGTATTATTATCATTGCGTAGATACCGTTAAATAACCTCTTGCCGTAATTGTCAATGCAGACAATAACGACCTCATATGAATAAACTCTCAATAACGGACAAAAACAACTTTAGTGATTTCTGAAACGTAACTCACCCTACACAATTAATGAAACAATCCACCACTTCGTGTACGAGACATCCACCCCCCAGCTGTCAGATCGTACCATTACACCGATCGGTGTGCTTCACGTTTCAAGGTTAACTACCGCTTTTTTTAGTACCACTACTCACTGACGTATGGATACAACTATACACGCGGCTAGAACCACCCCCCCCCCCGTATAATACAATAAAACGACCCAAGTTTGCATTATATTTGTGCAATTAAAAGCGAGCATTATGATACACGTCATAGTTACATCATCATGGTTCCCTTGCAGCTCAAACCGGTTAGGAATACGCCACACACACACTCACACAAAAAGACGCAAACGGCTCTTGTCTCGTCACTTTCGCGACTCCGCGAAGCCAACGTGCCTCCTCAGTAAACACGGAACGTTGGCCCAACGTTGATCCAACCAAGTGGCCCAACGTGGCAAGCTTACTGGGTCGTGGCTTTTAAGGATGCTACGTCGAAGCCCCGTTTATGAATGCGATCGCGCGTGATTATTGCCAAAATTAAAACAATTTCCCCCGGTGGTGATGCTGCTACTGCCGCAGCAGCGTTGGCATTGGCACACAGGCGAGATGATACATTCCTTGCTTGCTATCCGGGATGTTATGGGTTCGATCCACGACCCTGACGCATGCTGTATATTTGGAGTTTGCATGTTCTCCCCGTGGTCACGTGGATTTTTCTCCGGGTTCTCCGGTTTTCCCCTCCACATTAAGAAACTTTCATTCAGAGTATCTGGCTGCTATAAATTTCCTGGTATAATACAATTTTTTTTTATAGTTTAAGTTAACAATGCCAGCAGCACTCAACGCGTGTCAACACTTTGTGGCTTTACATTGTTATAGAATAGGCGACGTTTCAGGCAATGGGCCTTCTTCATAGCACGTACTATGAAGACGGCATACCACGTCTACAAACGTCGTACTCAGATTGTAAATGTTGTGCCTTGGCTCTCCAACACACCGGTTAGTGCTGCACTAGTGACGAATTGGCCACGTTCTGTTTACGTGACGAGCCTTACTAGTTGGCTGTGTCGGGTGGTGGCGGGTTTTAACGACACATTTATATATTTACGCGATGTAACCCAAAAAAAACCCTCTATGATAGTGTTGTTATAGTCAGTTGTGCACCACTGCCATCGCTGTAACAACAGCAGCATCACCGGCACGAAGTGGCGGTGTTTGTGTTTTATTATCGCCGATTCGTATTCCGCTGTGCGTGATCGGTTCGCGTGTAACCCTGCAGCCAGCCGCTTGAGACAACGAAGTTTAAAATTAAACAGCAACAACAAAAAATCGACGATAAGAATCGTTCCGACTCGGGTTCTTAATTTCTCATGGGAACATTTTCCTGCACCTGCCCCAACCCCCCAGCCCCTCGTGGAGGATGGGGGGGGGGTGAGAAGGGACATATTTTCTGGAACTGAGCCCCGTACGGCTCCGTCTGAATTCAAGCCGTGATTTCCACCGCTCGCGTCTGCAAGAGCCGGTTGTGCTTTTTGGTACCTCGAACGCCACACCACAGAGAAATATTTTAAAAAACGTTAAAACATTTGCCCCGCATAATTATTATATTAGTCTTTAAAAAGTCACATTAAATATGAAAGAAAAAAACAACCGCAGTCCACCCCCCCTCCCCCCCACCAAGTCCACCCCGTGACGTTATTAGTTGGCCTGTGACGATTACGATCGATGAATAGTCGATTACAATTAATCGATTCTAATAGAGGGCTACGCCCACCGCGACGGGCGTATCGTAGTGCGCGTGAGATCGATGATTTCCCACGAATGCAAATGAGTAACATGTAACTGTTCAGTGTTACATTTACAGTGATGGAACAAACAAGAGAAACAATACAAACGAGATAATACAAACAAGACAATACAAACGAGACGGACAATACAAACGAGACAATAGAAACGAGACAATAGAAACGAGACAATACAAACGAGACAATACAAACGAGAGAGACAATACAAACGGGACAGACAATCCAAACGAGACAGACAATACAAACGAGACGGACAAGGCAAACGAGACAATACAAACGAGACAATACAAACGAGACAATAGAAACGAGACAATACAAACGGGACAGACAATACAAACGAGACAGACAATACAAACGAGACAATATAAACGAGACAATACAAACGGGACAGACAATACAAACGAGACAATACAAACGAGACAATACAAACGAGACAGACAATACAAACGAGACAATACAAACGAGACAAACGAAACAAGATACTACGGATGAGACAAATAATCGAATCAAAACAAAATCGTTCCGTGCCTAATGTCGACGAATGATCACAGTTTAAATTTGTGTTCCCGGCACACCACATCCAGTACTGTGTGTCTGTGACTAGTAGCAGCCGGAAAATGGGGCGCCACGATGGGGAGATGTTAACTACTTCACCTGGTATACAGGAGGTCCTGGGTTCGATCTCGACCCTGGAGTTTGAATGTCTCTCTCCCCGTGGTCATGTGGATTTTTCCCCGAGTCCTCCGGTTCCCCCCCCCCCCCCCCCCATATTTAGAATCAACAACACGCCTTTAGAGTATCTGGCTGCTATAAATGTCCACGTGACAAGCCACTTCGTTGGGCTATCATTTGAAAAAAAACTTTTAGTTTTTGAAAATATGAAGCCGCGTGTGTATGTATTTAAGTACATAAGCGTGTGTATGTATACGCGTGTATGCGCGCGCACATAAACTATGTGTTCGTGTAATCCATGAGTGCGTCATAAGCGCGGAGTGGTGGCGCAGTAGTTAGCGCACTGCGCAACGAATCCGGAAGAATATTTGAACCCGGTCCTGGGCCTTCCCTTAGGTGGACTCAGCCTTAAATGAGTACCTGGCGCGGTGTGTAAACATCAGCACTCGGGAGACAAAGGCTGCCGTGCGTGGTGCTGGCCACACTAACGCCTCGTGTGCCATGCCGGCCTTCACAGCTGCTGGCCTTCACAGCTGCTCGCTAACAGCACTTGCCCCAACAGTCTGTCCAGGCTACACAGGGGATCTTTGTCTCTGTGTGTTCGCCGCGTGCGTCTGTGGTTAGCGCACCGCGTGACGAACCCGGTGACTCCCGCTCACGGCCGACATCAGTGGTGACTATCTGAACCCAATCCTGGGCCTTCCCTTCGGTCGGCACAGCCTTGAATTAGTACCTGGTGCGATATGTAAAAAAAAAAAATCATCAGCACTGGGGGAGACAAAGGCGGCTGGTCGTGGCGCATGCCATGCCAGTCCCTCGTGTGCAGGACCAGCAAACAGCCCTATCCCCAACAGTCTCCCTCCGGCTATAGAGGGGTCGTGTGTTCGGGCACGCAGCAACACGTATGTGTTTGTACGCACGTACTAAAGGGGAGCGGTAGTGTAGAGGTCAGCTAGCTGCGCTACAAACCCAGTGGCCCGAGTTCGATTCCCGCTCACAGCCAACACCGGTGACGATTATCTGAACCGGTCCTGGGCCTCCCCGAGGTCGACTCAGCCACAAATGAGTACCTGGTGCGGTGTGTGAACATCGCCACTGGGGAGAATAAAGGGCGACCGGGAGTGGTGCTGGCCACCCACCCCCTCGTGTGCCACAGTGCCGGCCTTCATAGGTGCTCACTAACTGCACTTGCCCCAACAAGTCTGTTCAGGCTATACGGGTGCTCTTTGTCCTTGTGTCTATGTGCGCGCGCGTGCACACCCGCGACACACGCCGCTACACTCCGCAGTCCGGTGCGAGCGACACTGCCGAGGGCGGCTCTGCCGACACGCAGCTCGGCGCAACGGAACATCCACCATCACCACCGCCGTCACCACCACCGCCGTCACCACCAACGCCACCGTCGCGGCCGTGAGCGGCGTCCCTCGCCGGTCTGTGGGGGCCCCTGGCCGCGGCGTACCGCTCGGCGAGCCCCTCCAGCGCCGATATGATCTGGTCGAGCCCCCACAGGTAGCCGTCCTCCCGGTTGCCCTCGCTCCACGCGTCGCGGTGGCTCAGGGTCTGGCCCGCGGGCAGCGGCGTCGTCTTGCCAAAGTCGATCATCCACACGCCGGCGCGGCCGCACCCGTCGTGCACGAAGAGCAGCGAGCTGCCGATCACCTGGGACACGCGCGCGGGACACAATGTCGCCTTAACAGGCGGCTGGGGTCACGTGTTGTTCGCGAGTAGCGCCGGTGGGGGCCGGCGCTGTGGCACGCGTGGGGGTGGGTGGCCAGCACCACGCCCCGCCGCCTTTGTCTCCCCAGCGGCGGAGTACCGCACCAGGTGCTAATTTGAGGCTGAGCCCACCTAGTGGAGGCGCAGGACCGGTTCAGACAATCGTCACTGGTTGTTGGCCGTGAGCGTCAATCGAACTCGGGTCGCCGGGTTCGTAGCGCAGCGCGCTGACCCCTACACTCCCGCTCCCCACACACGCACACACACACACACGCACACACGCACGCACATACACACACGCACACACGCGCACAACAACAACAACCGCCATTCGCCACTAAGTGGCGGTGACGTCACCACGATGCTTGTGCCAGGCCAAGTGCACCTTGAGGCCACGTGAAGTGTCGAACGCCCGCTGGCAGGAGGTCACGGGGCAGACCCAGGTGCCACGGGTCGACTGACCGAGATGACCGAGATGACTGGCTGATGCACCACCTGTGCCCCCTACTGTGCCAACTTGCTGTGCTTTAGCCACCCGGCGCTCCGCTCGTTGTTGTGAGCGTCGCTCCTCCGCCCTCCGTTGTTGTTGGAGGGCGACTGCCTCCAACTGCCCAGTAGCGTCCTTCACGAGCCTCCTCCACTGAGGCCGATCTTGACACCGCTGGTACCAGTCATCGGCAAGTCCACTCAGCTCCACGTCCTCCTGTACCACATCACTCCATCTCTTCTCCAGCCCGTGCCGCGCCCGTCTAGCCCCCTCGATCCGGCCGAACAAAAGCTGTTTAGGCATGCGGTGGCTGGGCATGCGGGCTACATGACCCAGCCAACGCAGCCTTGCCTGCCGGAGGAGCTCACTGATGGGACTTTGCCCAGATCTTTCAAGGATTTGTGAGCTCCTCACACAATCCAGCCTGGTTAAACTCAGGATGAATCGTAGGCAGGCCAGCCTAAATGTTTCCAACCGGCGAAGATGCTCCACCAGGGGGGTCCACGTCTCGCAAGCGTAGAGAAGGGAGGGAATGACCGTGGCCGAGAAGACCTGAAGCTTCGTGCGGAGCGACAGACCAGGTAGCTTCCACACAGCGTTACGCAACCGATGAAAATATATTGCCGCTCGACTGATTCGGAGTGAGACCTCTGCTGATAAACTGGAGCCGCATGCACGCACACACACAGACGCGCACGGACACGCACACACGCACACACAAAATTGCTGTATCAAGTAATTTTGCTGTGACGGTTTCACCTGAAGACGGAATGGCTTGTGTTTCCTCCGAAACGTCGTGATTTAATTTATTTGTTTTCTTTTAACCTACGTGACTTTACCGAAAAAACCAAAAAGTATTAAAAAGGTGTCGTAGATAAATACATAAAAATCCTCTTCCTCGGCTCCACAATTCGCTCGCTCGCTCGCTCACCTCGTGCGTTTGGAAGAAAGGGGAGTCTTCCAGCGTGGCCTTCATTGCCTTCAGCCGGGCGAGGTATCGGATCTGAAGACACAAGCAGACCGTGAGAACACACGCACGAACAAAGACAAAGATCCCCGGTAGAGCCTTCACAGACTGTAGGGGCAAGTGCTGTTAGCGAGCAGCAATGAAGGCTGGCACTGCACACGAGGGGGTGGGTGGCGAGTACCACGCCCGACCGCCTTTGTCTCCCCAGTGGCGATGTTTACACACCGCACCAGGTACTCGATTAAGGCCGAGTCGACCAGGGGGAGGCATAGGACCGATTCCGATATTCGTCACCGGCTGTTAGCGGCCGTGGGAGGGAATCGAACTCGGGCCGCCGGGTTTGTCGTGCAAGCGCACGAACCGCTAGGCCATCTCTGTTGAGATCCACACAGCGCCAGGACACATACACTCAGGGACACTGCAGCAGCAAGTCCGCTCAATAGGAATTATAACTTTTTGATTTAAAGCTTTCGTGACTGCAAGGATTCATACTCTTAGTTCTTTCGGTAAAGTCACGTAGGTAAAATTAATAAAAATAAAACAATAAAAATCACGACGTTTCGGAGGCAACACAAGCTTCCGTCTTCACCTGATTTTTATTGTTTTATTTTTATTAATTTTACCTACGTGACTTTACCGAAAGAACTAAGAGTAGGAATTATAACTGTGTGCAGTACTTGTACAGCACCTTGTGTCAATCTACTGCTGGATCAGGGTCTCTCCCAGCCTGCGCTGGTCGTGGGTCTGTTATCTTACCCGCCTATCGAATGCGGTCAGCGTTACCCTATAGACGATGGGAACATGCAACAATTGATTGTGCGGCACTGCAGCTCTGCCGCCCTTACAACTGGTGCCCAGCAGGGGGCAGTGCAGTAACGTCCATCGTTGAATGCTTCAAGGTGGTCCAGATGTCTTGTGACCACCCCCCCCATCATTTAATGAATAATTATTTTTAACATAAATTAATATTTAATGGGGGGGGGGGGGGTTGTCAGGGGTCAATTTATTGGGTGGTCACCAGACATCTGTGCGAAGGAAGTTCAACAGACAGCCAGCTCACCTGAATGTTCACATTCTTTCCTATGAAGTCATCAAGGACATCCATCACCTGCTCGCGGGTTCTCGTTTTCTTGAAGTCCTGCTTGAGGAAGCCGTCGCTTTTCTGATGAACAACAACGCGTGAACACGCACGTGAGCACGCGCTTGAACGCGTGAATTCGAAATCACATGAACACTCGCATGAACACAACACGCGCATGAACACACACACACGCTTGACTGTGCACATGAACACACCCACTTGAACACAACACGTGAACACAACACATGAACACGCGCGTGAACACACAAGGACGCGCACAGTACAAGCATGCACGCACGCAAATGTATGCACGCACCTGCACACGTACACGTATACAGACAAAGATCCCCCGTATAGGCATAAGTGGCTCTTGTGGCGAGTGCTGTTAGCGAGCACCTATGAAGGCCGGCACGGCACACGGGGGGGGGGGGGGGGATGACCGGCCGCCTTTGTCTCCCCAGTGGCGATGTTTACACACCGCACCAGGTTTCCACATTTAAGGCTGAGCCGACAGACGTGCAATGCACACGCGCGCCAAGACCTAACGAACACAAACATCACAATCCGCACACTCTAAAGTGGAACAACTCCGCTTCTTGCTGCTAAAGAATGTGACGTCTGAAACAAAAAAACACCCCGCTCAATTGCAAGCACTTAAACGTTCTTAAAATACTCACGCGCGCGCACTTTACATTTTCCCCCCCCAAATGATAAACACACGTAAGGAAAGTAAACCACACCACGAATGTCATCATCATCATCAACAAGACGCACACACAAAAACAAACATCACCACCAACCGAGCCCGTTTGGCCATTTAAATTTGAAACGCATTTCCTTATTTATTTTCAAAAAGGGGAAATTACTGACGTCACGGCATGAAAGGCACAACCGTCGCTGTTGCTCTTTTCTCGAACCACCACCAAAGACAAAGTTCTCCCTCGCCTCGTACAGCCTTAGCAGACTGTAGGGACAAGTGCTGTTAGCGAGCAGCACCTATGAATTCCGGTGGGTGGCCAGCACCGCACCCGGCCGCCTTTGTCTCCCCAGCGGCGATGTTTACACAACACCACCAGGTGCTGTCCTCGTTTGAGGCTGATTCGACCTAGGGGAGGCCCATAACCGGTTCAAGAAAATCATCACGGGGTTCTTGGTGGCCGTAAAACGAGAATCGAACTCGTTGCGCGTAGCCGGGTTCGCAGCGCGCTAACCGCTGCGCCACCGCTCCTCCCACCACCACCCACAAACGATTGCCTGGCCGGGCACCCTCCCCCTCTTCCGTCAAGCAGCCCCCTCCTTCACCCCCCCGCCACCACCGCCCCCCCCGTGGTATTTTCCACTGTGTGACCACAAACGTGGAACCCCGTGGCCTCATATCTCTCCCACCTCCCTCCCCCGCTACACACCCCAACTCCCACCGCCCCCCCACCCTCCAGGCCCACCCCACCCCCGCGCACCCGAAGCCAACACACAGCATCGCGCCGGAGATTAAGTTTACAAGTGCAACGTGGTGGTTGCAATAACTCAGATGCTTCTGGTCACGGTCGATTAGGAGCGTGCTACGACTACTACTGCACACACACACCCCCACCGGGCTTTCTGAACCTCAGCTGGCCTCGACCAGAGTTCATTTATTTTAGTTGTTCGGCATATATTTGGGAGGTTTTTTTTGTCTCGCCGTTATGATGGGATTGTGATCAGGTTTTGCTTGTGTCGACGTGGCCGTTTTAAGTTTCGCGAGTGTTATATTTGGACGGCGTCACTCGCACCTTGGAGTCATGTCCGTATTATTGATTACTGTCTCTCAAGACGCCGTGTGTACACGCTTGTTGGGTGATGTGGACTTTGTACGAGCAGTCACTGCCTAGGTAAGTCTCCAGTGTGATGCAGTGGGTTCGCTGTGTTGAATTTCTGGTGGAGATCTATGAATAAAAACTAAACGATAAACTATTTATTTTATTTTACCAGGTAAGGCCCACTGAGCTATATAGCTATTTTCAGAAGCGACCTGGCCACAAATGATAGCTCAATGAAGAAGAGACTTTTCACGTGGAAATATATAGCAGCGAAACACTCTAAACGCACGTTTCTAAATGTGGAGGGAAAAACCGGAGGACCCGGAGAAACATCCACACGACCACAGGGAGAACATGCAAACTCCGAATATACAGCAGGCGTCAGGGTTGGGATCGAACCCACGACCTCCTGCATAGCAGGAGAGATATTTACAGGAACATCTCGCCACGTGGCGCCCCCACGGGCACCAAAGATAAAGATCACCCGTGTATCCTTAACAGACTGTTGGGGCAAGTGCTGTTAAGTGAGCACATATCAATGCCAGCACGGCACACGAGGGGGTGGGTGGCCAGCACCACGCGTGGCTTCCGTTGTCACCCGAGTGGCGATGTTTACACACCGCACCAGCTACTCGTTACAGTCGACACACACGCACGTTTCACTCAATTCATCAAAATATTCCAACTCCGAGAATGATCATGTGTCTGCTTTACTGCCAGTGCGACGAACATATCTCATTCCAGGGTCCTCCTCTAACTGCGATGGCACCGCTCGCTCCGTGATGAATATGCCAGGGCGCTGAGCGTCCCAAACGGACATGGATTGGAATAAAATTGGGCAAATGAAGAGACGAATAAAAACACAGACACACGCACACACACACCCACGTGTGTGGCTCTATGGAGTGTAAGAACCGACACAGTTCCCTCCACATCCCACTCGCGTGAGAGGGATGTGGTGACCCCTGCGTGACCCCTGCTTGCAGGGTTCATGCGGAGGTCACGGGGAGGGGAGGGAGGAGGGGGTTGGCCCCGAGGGAGATGCTTTGAGCACGGTGAGCATTGAAAGTGCCGAGCGACCTGGAATCGAGAGCAAGCTCTGGGTCTGCACCGGCGTTGAGAAGAGAAGTAGAGGCCTCAGGCAGCTAGCAGCGATGCAGTCCGGTGGCCCTGCACCGGGACACCACGGGATTGAGGGGCCTACGGGCCAGAGGGGGCCACGGGCCAGAGGGGCCCACGGGCTGGGCTACAAAGGGCGGTCCCCACTGGGACAGGGAAGGGATGAGGGCGGGCGCACATTTAATTCCTTCCACCAGTGCTGATGCCAACCACGCCATTCAACTGCTAAGCTACCCCGTAACCAGGCTCAAACTCCGCACAGCTTGCGCAGTGCAACAACAACAACAGCCGGGAGATTCCCGCAGACAGATTGAAGGTGTAGAGAGCCAGCATGTGACCTTGACTGACCCCCCCCACCCATATCTGGGTGATGATTGCTACGTTGCCGCACGTGACTGCCGCCTGTGATCCGGCAGCAGCGAGGGTTGGCGGATCACCACCAACCCTCGCTGTGGTGAAACTCCCTTCCCCCATGAGTGGGCGTCGAGGAGGCTGTTTCGTCAGAAGAAGGCAGCACAGCAACAACGTTGACTCCACCTGTTCCACCCGTATGGGATCGAGTGTTTCCCACTCGAAAAGCGTGGGATTTCCCTGGGTGTTCCGGCTTTCTCCGACATGATAAGCTTCATTAATTGGCTGACAACACCTTCACATATATATAGAGGACTGCAGAGCTTGGGAAATTGTTGGCGCCAGCTGCTCTTTGTCCACGAGAGCGAAGAGTGAATACTGTGTGCGGCGGTGATGGTGGCGCAGAGTTACGAGTTGACATCATTATCCTGACTGCCGGGCCGCATCACTGCCCACACCATCATCGCCATCATCACCACCAAAGAAAAGACAAAGATCTCCCCCTATAGCTTGAGCAGAATATTAGGGCAAGTACTGTTAGTGAGTAGCACCTATGAAGGCCGGCACGGCACACAAGGGGGTGGGTGGCCAACGCCATGCAGGCCGCCTTTGTCTCCCTTAGCGGCGATGTTTACACACCGCACTGGGTACTCATTTGTGGCTGAGTCGACCTATATGTGGCGGAGGACCGGTTCAGATAATCATCACCAGTGTTGGTGGCCGTGAGCGGGAATCGAACTCGGGTCACCGGGTTCGTAGCGCAGCGTGCCAACCGCTGAACCACTGCTACACCACCCTTTGATAATAATGGCATCATTATTATCACCGGCAACTTCTTCAATCACCACCACCACCGTCGTCACCATCATCATCATTATCACCACCACCACCGTCGTCACCACCATCATCATCACCACCACCACCGTCGTCACCACCATCACCACCACCAGCACACCACCACCACCACCGTCGTCACCACCACCATTATCATCATCACCTGATCACCACGCACCTTGATGCCCTCGATCCTGAAGCCGAGCGTGGCGGACGAGCTGATGGTCTCGCGCCACTGCATGTAGCGCGGCTTGGTGACGGCGCGCTGGGTGTGCTCCTCCACGGTGGGCGCTCCGGGCTCCACCGCCACCATCTTCTGGTACATGTCCTTGCGCAGCCGCGGCTTCTCCCGAGCTCGTGCCAGCTCCTCCTCCAGGTAGGTCCTGCGGTGGGAGTTGGGGTGGAGAGGCAAGAGGGTTGAGGAAGGGCAAAGAGGTTTCTCCCCCTTGACGATGCGTCGCGTCGCCACGCGGGGAGTGAGTGGGTGGGTCGCTGTTCAGCGCAACGCGGTGCTGAAATCGTGGCGCCCAGCTCTGTCGTGGTGTGGCCTGCTGATGATGATGATGATGGACGGGCTGCTGACGATGGATGGGCTGCTGATGATGGATGGAGTGCTGATGGACAGTGCTAATGATGTTGTGCAAAGTATTAGCACACCATTCCATACACACACACACACACAAAACAAAGACAAAGATCCCCCGTATAACCTTAACAGATGGTTTTGGCAAGTGCTGTTAACGTGTACCTATGAAGGCCACCACGGCACACGAATTGGGTGGTTGGCCAGCACCACGCCTGACCGCCTTTGTCTCCCCAGTGGTGTTGAGTACACACTGCACCAGTACTCATTTGATGCTGAGTCGACCTAGGCCAGGCCCAGGACCGGTTCAGATAATCGTCGCTGGTGTTGACCATGAGCGGGCATCCAACTCGAGCGGCCTGGTTTGTACCGCAGCGCTCTAACCGCTACACTACCGCCACCCACCACACACACAAGACAAAGATCCCCCGTATAGCCTTCACAGGCTGTTGGGCCAAGTGCTGTTAGCAAGCACGTATTAAGACCGGAACGGCACACACACACACACACACCGATCCGCACACGCACACACTTATCCGCACACGCACACACTTATCCGCACACGCACACACTTATCCGCACACGCACACACTTATCCGCACACGCACACACTTATCCGCACACGCACACACTTATCCGCACACACACACACTTATCCGCACACGCACACACTTATCCGCACACGCACACACTTATCCGCACACGCACACACTTATCCGCACACACACACACTTATCCGCACACGCACACACTTATCCGCACACACACACACTTATCCGCACACACACACACTTATCCGCACACGCACACACTTATCCGCACACACACACACTTATCCGCACACACACACACTTATCCGCACACGCACACACTTATCCGCACACGCACACACTTATCCGCACACGCACACACTTATCCGCACACGCACACACTTATCCGCACACACACACACACTTATCCGCACACGCACACACTTATCCGCACACGCACACACTTATCCGCACACGCACACACTTATCCGCACACGCACACACTTATCCGCACACGCACACACTTATCCGCACACACACACACTTATCCGCACACACACACACTTATCCGCACACGCACACACTTATCCGCACACGCACACACTTATCCGCACACGCACACACTTATCCGCACACGCACACACTTATCCGCACACGCACACACTTATCCGCACACGCACACACTTATCCGCACACACACACACTTATCCGCACACGCACACACTTATCCGCACACGCACACACTTATCCGCACACGCACACACTTATCCGCACACGCACACACTTATCCGCACACCACACACTTATCCGCACACGCACACACTTATCCGCACACACACACACTTATCCGCACACACACACACTTATCCGCACACACACACACTTATCCGCACACCACACTTATCCGCACACACACACTTATCCGCACACACACACACTTATCCGCACACACACACACTTATCCGCACACGCACACACTTATCCGCACACACACACACTTATCCGCACACGCACACACTTATCCGCACACGCACACACTTATCCGCACACGCACACACTTATCCGCACACGCACACACTTATCCGCACACACACACACTTATCCGCACACACACACACTTATCCGCACACACACACACTTATCCGCACACACACACACTTATCCGCACACACACACACTTATCCGCACACACACACACTTATCCGCACACGCACACACTTATCCGCACACACACACACTTATCCGCACACGCACACACTTATCCGCACACGCACACACTTATCCGCACACGCACACACTTATCCGCACACGCACACACTTATCCGCACACGCACACACTTATCCGCACACACACACACTTATCCGCACACACACACACTTATCCGCACACACACACACTTATCCGCACACACACACACTTATCCGCACACGCACACACACTTATCCGCACACACACACACTTATCCGCACACGCACACACTTATCCGCACACGCACACACTTATCCGCACACGCACGCACGGACCTCACTCCCATCTTGCAGTCCATGATGCAGGGCGCGTGAAAGTCGGTGAGCAGATCCTCCATCTGCACGTAGCGCACGCCGTCGTTCTCCATCTCGCCCAGGTAGGCGGGCACGAACGGGCGCAGCGCGTCGCCCATGAGCAAGCGCAGGCAGCGCTGCTCCCCCTCGCAGAAGCGCTTCAGGACCACGCCCTGCTGCTCCCCCGTCTTGAAGTTCCCTGCGTGCCACCAAAGCAACATCCTCATCATCGTCGTCGTCGTCGTCGTCATTCACTGTGGCCAGAAGGAGGTGGTGGGTGCCCTAAACGTGGCGAGATGTTAACTCCCTCGCCTGGTATGCAGGAGCTCGTGGGTTCGATCCCGACGCTGACGCCTGCTGCATGTTTGTCGTTTGCATGTACTCTTTTTCTCTCTCTCTCTCGCTCCCCGCGGTCGCGTGGATTTTTTTCTAGGGTCGCCTCCGGGTTTTCCCGCCACATTTAGAATCAACGTCACGCGGTAAGGATATGTGGCTGCTGCACATTTCCACATGATAAGCTCGGTGGGCCCTACCTGGTCAAATAACATAGTTTTAGTTCAGTTTTAGTTTAAGTTTTAGTGGCCGCCTGCGACCCTCCAGCACTGTGGAGGCAGCAGCTGGGGTTGGTAGATCTCCGCAAGAGATGTTGAAGAACTCCACTGCCGGCGGGTAGGCGTCCAGCTGCCGTACACAGCAAGGCGTAGACTAATCTCGCATCCGCTTCCATCTGTACGGGGATAGAGTGTTGCCCCCTCGCGCATGGCGTGGGTTTCCTCCCACTTTGTATGCACCCATTAATATGCCGATAATACGTTGATATGTAGAGGACTGCAGAGCTCGGGGACATTGTTGCTAGCACCGGCTAGTCGCGTGGCTGCCTTCTCAGCTCGTCTGTGGTTCCTCGCGCCTCTGAGTCGTCCTCTCTCTCCTAGAGTGAGCTAATACTGCACGCGCACGCTACAAGTTGAAATTAATATTAAATCATCATCATAAAGCCACGATCAACCCATTGCTGGATGAAGGCCTCCCGAAGCCACCGCCGCCAACTTTAACGATCCGGTGATGAATCTGGTTACACGTTTCCATCTCATCTTCTCGCACGCGTTCCATTCCTTGGCTGCCACTCCGTTATTGCTCTTGAACATCGGCCGTCACTCTGTTTGCCTTCCCACCACACCTTCGATTTAGCACGGTTGGCTACGTACGATGCAAGAGGAGTTCAACATGCGACCCGTCCTGCGCAAGCCTCACTTTCCTTGATACAGCAGTTTGGTTGGCGATGTCAGTAAAACTGCGTGCTTATTAGGGCCCTCTGCAGTTTGTGTTCCATATTTTTTCCGTTAATGACCGCGGTTCTGACCCATCATCATCATTTGTTACTGCTCTGTCACGTGTTTGCGGGTGATTAAACGTGCGGTCAACTCAGCCTCAAACGAGTACCTGGTTAGGTGTGTAAACACCTAACCGGGCGTGGTGTTGGCCTCTCTCTCTCTGTCTCTCTCTGTGTGTCTCTCTCTGTGTCTCTCTCTCTCTTTCTGTGTCCCTCTCACCTGCGTGGCCAGACAGCTGGATCCAGGGGTAGCGCTTCTTCAGAGCCACGATGAACGGCGTGCGGTGCATGATGCTCTGGATCCTCTTCCATGCCTTGTGCTGCACCGAGGGGGGGTGGGGAGGGGGGGGGGCACGGTGTGTGGGAGGGGTGAGAGAGTGCGGAAGAGGTGAGAGAGTGTGGAAGAGTGTGTGGGAGTGTGAGACAGTGCGGGAGAGAGTGTGGGAGGAAGATGTCCACGGTGAGGGTGTGTCAGAGTGTTTGGGTGAGGAGGGTGAGGAGGGAGAGGGTGAGGAGGGTGAGGAGGGAGAGGTTGTGTTTGGGGGAGGGGTGTGCAGGGGAAGGTATGGGGAGACACACGGGGAGACACGCGGGGAGACACACGGGGAGACACGCGTGGTTATTGGGATACGCCAGGGACAAGCGCGTGATCCTCTTAATCATCAAACTCCATCCAGAGCTCCCGCAGTCATCAGCCCACCGATTAGCACGTGTTAGATCGAGAACGGCCCGCGGAAGGAATGCTACAGAACTGCTTCGGAAGTCTCTTCAAGTTACCTCTTATCCACGTCGCTGAGGCCGCTGCACTTACCCGCACGCAAATAACGTGAAAGCCCATCGTCAAAAACACCATCGTGTTTTTTTATATGAAGACAAAAATAACGTGTGCTGGGCTGGACGGAGGGACGGAGGGACGATCACGTACAAAGGACACGTGGGTCGCGAGCCACATTTGTTTTTATCCCATTTAAATTCGGTTAAAAACTGAATTCGCCTCAATTCCAGCTGTGAGAATTCAATATCGCGTTCGCTGTCACGTGACGGACGTCACTCTGGGCGGCGAGGCGGGTGGAGAGAGCGCTGCCCTCTGCTGTGTGCAACAGAGCTCCCTTGAAGGCGCACGTGCTCAGCGGTAGCTCTTTAATGTCCGCTTCCGCGGGGCATTCTCCAACGCGAAGACGCACACTGCCCCTGCGGGTTGATTCTCCATCTCGTGACGGCGCGACACCAACAACACGTGTCGTATGCATGTAACTATGTTGAACTTCTTTCGCGCCGTACGTAGCCAACCGTGCTAATCGGAGGTGCGGGGGAAGGGCAACAAACTACACGTGAAAAGCAGTTTTCAAGTGCAGAGGTGTCAATCTGTCTTCGTGCCACGTGATCAAATTAGGCTTCTAAGAAGATACAAACTGAGTGGAAATGCGGAGGGGAGCAGGCAGTGAAGTGGCCGAGCCTTCGCGAATTTTCCGCCTTTGCTGCAGCGAAATCATGCGCCGTGCACAAAACAATCGCTCCGTCTCGTTCCGAACTCGACAAAGAGGAGAATGATAGTGAAACAAAAAGTAGCAATTGTATATTAAACTATATTCAACTAATACTTGATACAGCTATCGTACTGTGACGGTTCCACCTGAAGACGGAAGCTTGTGTTGCCTCCGAAACGTCATGATTTTTATTTTATTTTATTTTATTCATTTTAATTTTTTACCTACGTGACTTTACCGAAAAAACCTAAAAATAAGGAGAGAGGCCTCGCGGTTCTAACCCCGTGGCCGCCCTGGCTAACCATGCAAGCCGTACGCCGGTCCACCTCGCGTCGTTGGCTTCGTTCCAGTCGGCCGGAGGTGCCCCGGCGTCTCGGTTCAACATTTTATTTGTTGCCAAATTTGAACAACAAAAAGCACATTCGCAAATTGCCACACGGAAACACCCGCCCTCCCCCCTACCCACCCCACCCCGACGGGCCGACTCTGACTCCCCGGTGCCGCGTGGCGCCTTCCGAGGCCGCTCTGCGCCGTGCTGCGGGGGGCCTGCGAGAGCGGCGCACGGGGCCCACACGCACAGGGCCCACACGCGGCCGACGACTCGGTTTTGTCCCCCTGGGCCTCGAAGGCCACGGGCAGCCCTCACGATTGGGCTAGCCGTGTCCGATACACAGAGGCGGCGTCTGTGTGTGTGTAGAGGTGTGTGTGTGTAGAGGTGTGTGTGTGTAGAGGTGTGTGTGTGTAGAGGTGTGTGTGTGTAGAGGTGTGTGTGTGTAGAGGTGTGTGTGTGTGTGTAGAGGTGTGTGTGTGTAGAGGTGTGTGTGTGTGTATGTGTAGAGGTGTGTGTGTGTAGAGGTGTGTGTACCGGCCTGTGTGTGCGCGTGGGGAGCGGTAGTGTAGTGGTTAGCGCGCCGCGCTATAAACCCGGCGACCCGGGATCGATTCCCGCTCACGGCCAACACCGGTGACGATTATCTGAACTCAGCCTTAAATGAGTACCTGGTGCGATGTGTAAACATCGCCACTCGTGAAGACAAAGGCGGTCGGGTGTGGTGCTGGCCACCCAGCCCCTCGTGCACCGTTCCGGCCTTCATAGGTGCTCGCTAACAGCACTTGCCCCAACAGTCTGTTAAAGGCTACACGGTGGGATCTTTGTCTTTGTGTGTACCCTGTGACTCACCACAGGGAAATATATCACGGGCAGCTCTCAGCGATTTGAATATGAATTTAAAAACAATCCTCGCCTCTGACTTTCTCAACTCAACCCTAGCCCGGGGCTAGGAGTGGCGGTCCCTGGCTCCAGGTGGAGCTGTTGACAAGCCCCACTGGGCGTCCCAGTCTCGGGGGGAATGACGTGTGAGCTGGTGAGGGTCGTTGGCGAAATCCACGCCCTGCCAGTGGCCACTCACACAGAGACCCATAGACTCACACAGAGACCCATAGACTGATGCAGAGACCCATAGACTCACACAGAGACCCATAGACTTACACAGAGACCCGTAGACTCACACAGAGAGCCATAGACTTACACAGAGAGCCATAGACTTACACAGAGACCCATAGACTCACACAGAGAGCCATAGACTCACACAGAGACCCAAAGACTTACACAGAGACCCATAAACTTACACAGAGAGCCATAGACTCACACAGAGAGCCATAGACTCACACAGAGACCCATAGACTTAAACAGAGACCAATAGACTTACACAGAGAGCCATAGACTCACACAGAGAGCCATAGACTTACACAGAGTCCCATAGACTGATGTAGAGACCCATATACTGACGCAGAGACCCATAGACTTACACAGAAAGCCATAGATTCTCACAGAGAGCCATAGATTCACACAGAGACCCATAGACTCACACAGAGACCCATCGACTGATGCAGAGACCCATAGACTCACACAGAGACCCATAGACTCACACAGAGACCCATAGACTCACACAGAGACCCATAGACTCACACAGAGAGCCATAGACTTAAACAGAGACCCATAGACTGACGCAGAGACCCATAGACTCACACAGAGACCCATAGACTCACACAGAGACCCATAGACTCACACAGAGACCCATAGACTCACACAGAGACCCATAGACTGACGAAGAGACCCGTAGACTCACGCAGAGAGCCATAGACTCACACAGAGACCCATATACTGACTGACGCAAGACCCGTAGACTCACACAGAGACCCATAGACTCACACAGAGAGCCATAGACTCACACAGAGACCCATATACTGACTGACGCAGAGACCCGTAGACTCACACAGAGACCCGTAGACTCACACAGAGAGCCATAGACTCACACAGAGACCCATATACTGACTGACGCAGAGACCCGTAGACTCACACAGAGACCCATAGACTGACTGACGCAGAGACCCGAAGACTCACACAGAGACCCAGAGATTTACATAGAGACCCACAGACTCGCATGGACCCATAGATTCACGTAGAGACGCTTCGCCGTACATAACGAACTGCATAACGACTCGAACTCACGTCGAGACCCACAGACTGACATAAGAGAGCCATGGAGAACCACGGCACCACCACCACGCCTCACTTGATCACGTGCACACAACAGCCGCCAATCACTCACGAAGTGATGGTGTGGTCATCACAGCGCTTGTGCCAGGCTAGGTGCACTTTGAGGCCAAGTGTAGACGAGGCACGCGCTCACGCAGAGACGCACACTAACGTGCGCCGAGTAAATATAATCATCACCATCCATCATCATCATCCATGATCAATCCACTGCTGGATGAACGCCTCCCCACCACCATCATCATTAGTCATGATCAATCCACTGCTGGATGAACGCCTCCCCACCATCCATCATCATCATCAGTTCAAACCACCGGCTGCGGCTGCTGTTGCTGCACGCGAGCCGATCTCATCACTCCATCTCCGCGGTGGAGGTACTCCTCCTCTTTGTTGGACGCGTTCCATCCCGCGGTTATTAAAATGCGATCGCGATGTCATCCGCCCCGCCTGAGCTCACGGTCACGTTTCCTCCTTTGTGTCCCTTATTTATTCATGCGGCACTGAAGCGTCAACGGGTTTCACATTTTTTTTTTGTCAATATACGTTTCAAGACTTGTCATCGCACCTTTATTAGAAAATTGCCAAATGCACCCGACTGACCCCCCCACCCCCTTCAGACCGCGCAAGCTAAGCAGGCTTGAGCCTGGATCGTGCCCCCCCCCTAATCCCCGCACTAAGCAGCGAGGTAGAATATGGTCGTATAACCATCACTGCCCGCATGGCTACGCACGGCTGTGGGGGAGGGGCGGTGGGAGGCCCTCATCCAGCAGTGGATTGCGAGGCGGCGCGTCTCTACACGTGCCACATCGTCACGGTTGTCACGGTGTTTTGACAGCGCTGCCTGAACCCTAAACCTAATGGCGAGTCAGTGCGGGCACCGTTGTGCACTCATGTTGAACTTCTTTCACGCCGTACTTAGCCAACCCGTGCTCATCCCATGGCAATTTTCAGTTTTAACCCAAGACCGGGGTTGGGGCGTGGGACAGGAAGGAAGACGCGAATCGTTTTTGCTTTTCTGAGCCACCGAGCTTTCTCCCTCGGGAGTCAACGAAGGCAGACGACCGCCGGCCCTGTTGTTTACCCTGTTGTTTACCCTGTTGTTTACCGTGTTGTTTGACCCTGTTGTTTACCCTGTTTTTTACGCCGCATCATTGCCAGATTCTCCCAGCAGCACAAGTCGCTACACATGTAGCTACGGGCCACGCACTTTCAAGGGCCCCGCGATAAACGCTTTCAAGCTATCAATTCCGGTTCAGTGATTCTGCACTTGCTCTAT